GTGACAGCTGTGGCAGGAAACAACACTCTGAGAGGTGGTGAGACTGAATCAGAACTGTAAAGTTGTGAGTCAAACAGCTAAACAATGAGCTGAAGCTATATCAAACCCTGATTCTCTGCAGGTTCAACACTATGAGTGACCCTTTTTCACATTGTCACAGTCATATGATTAGTTGCTATTATAAAAATGTTGATTATAACACACACAGCAACAGTGAAGACAAGACAGTGATTCACTAGAACATATTTTGAGTGAGTACTTTATTGGTTGATGAGCTTGAAGGCCTACCTCTTATACTCACCTTATAGTCCTCTGTCCATCTGTCTGCGATGAGAATACTATGCACTTGTGCCTTACTTTATGCACCCCCAACCTTACTGCACTTGTGTCAAGTAGGATGTGGAACTGAGTGTTACAACTCGCCTCCCAGAGGGCCTCTCCTCCATCCACATAGATTTGTATTGTACGTCATCGTATGTCCTCTTCAATGACCAAAAGTGTCTGCCACATGACTACATGTAAATGTGGGGAAAAAAAATGGTTGGCAGCTTATGTGATCTGTTACCTTTTTACAGCTTAATTACAGTCTAAAACAAATCTAAACTTCTTGCATCATTACCTTCCCTTCCTTTAAAAATAAGAATCAACATATAAATACAGATGAACTATACTAACTTCGAATTGCATGATCTGACTGATGGTTTGTGTTCTTTGTGCTGTTTGCTTGAGCACCCAGAGTCAAGTCGAAGCCCCCCTGAAACTCTAGTCCGCAGAGGGGGAAACGGCAACCATGACAACCATGTTCAATTCACTCCATTATCATATCATTTCCAGATGTAGTACATAATAATTCAAGGCCTCCCCCTCCTCCTCCCGCCGGACCTCTTATGTTTGCCTCTATATTTTGGCTCTGAAGCTGCTGTTAATACGTACACTATTGTGAAATATGTTGTTATTGTCGCAGTGTCTGTCTGTAAGAAACAGAACAGCTGTTGCATTATGCAGGTGAGGTGCAATTTGACACCTGAGCTTTATTTGTAACTCGTCTCATTATAAAGTCAGATTTTCACGGTGTGATCTCTCACCCCTTCATCTCACTCCTGCAAGCTTCCTGTTGCAACATTTAACAGTTTTTTTTTCCCCCCAGTTCGTACTTGCAGGCAGTTGCACAGCCCTGCGTGCAGCATTATCAGATGCAGCCTACACAACATTGTTTTCATCGAGAACGGCAGCGGTATCAGACTGTCAGACCCACAAAAGACAAAACAAATCCCAGAATGCCCGGAATGTTGCTTTTTCCCCCCGTCCCAGTGTGAGTGGTGTGGTTAAAGGGTCTCGCCACAAACAAACTGCCTTTAGCAGTGTGGCAAGCAGGGACGAGGGTGGGTGAGGGTGGGGGGTGAGAGGGGTGAGGGGGGGGGGGGGGAGGGGTGGGGAGGGGGGGGTGGGGGGCTTGGTGGGCGCATCCCATTTTTTTTTGATTCACATCCCACTTATCACTGTGCAGCTCAATCTGACAGTACTTTGTTTTGATGTGCACTCGAGTTGTAGATAAAAGCAAAACCTACCAATTTTAGTGAAGCAGCCAGTCGTTTTAAAGTCATAGAAAATAAAGTAAGAATAGTATTTTTCCATTCAACGGACAATTTCGGGGACAAAGCACCAAAACTGAACCTGTCATGTTTGGTTAACATGATAGCATAGCAGCTGTTTCGATGTGTTTTCACTTTAAAAGAAGAATTGTCACATATTGAGATAAAAAGGAGTGGTAACATCCATGTTAGTTTATTGTTTAATCAGTCTTTGACTCAGTTGACAGTTGAGTAGATTACTTACAGAATCTAAATATATCTCTCAGAAAATAATACTGTACTTTGTTTTTTTGTTTTTTTGAAAGAGTATGTTATCTTCCTGTAAATCTCTCACATACAATATATACACATTATTTTGTATTATACATTTACACTTGCATACATAGTCACAAAAGCATCACATCTGTAAAGTGGATTCATCTGGACTTTCTGAGGTTCTGCCGTTCAAAGAGCTAAATCGCATCTGCATACATTCGAAACACGAGAACGTTCAGGGTGTTTTTACACTCGGCCTGTTTCAGCTATTTAACTGGACTCTGTGATTATCACTCAAATTTCTTCATGCTGATGATGTGAGATTATGGCCCCCTCTGGAATAACAAACCAAACCCAGACAGACAGTTGGGTGTGATTTGGAGCCCGCTTTGATCAAGCTTTATTTGCCTGTCGTGAATATCGTGCAGTCAGTCAATTTGTGGTGATCCCTAATTATTACCTCAACCAAGGTGTTTGTCTTAGGTCACATCTCTCACTTAGCCAGATATTTCAAAAAACGTGATGGATTTCAGTGAAATTTGGAGTGTGGACTAAAGAAAACTTATTAGAATTGGGTTTTGACATCAACTGCTTTCATTATTGAATCTGCTGTGCACAAATCAGCCTCAAGATTCTTGCAAAACTTCATGGTGTTTTGCCTCAAGGTGGCGCTGCAGCAACATGGGGAAGTTAAATGGTCATAACTTTTTATTAGCTACTCTCTAAAAATCAGCATGATTGTCATTCACTTAGTTTGATGCAGATTCAGATTAATACTGAAATTTAGATCTACTACATTTTTCTTGGATGTGTTTTCATTAAATGAAGGTAAAACTGATCCATATTATCTGTCTAAAAGTACCAAAGGAAACCTGCTCAAGTGTCATATAATGAGAAAAAATGTGAATTTTGTTTGCTATAATTCAAGTCTCATTGTTGGACCTACTCATTAAATAATAGTTGAATTTTTTATAAAAATGAATGTGAACACAACTGGAATCTCTGACAGTATATAGTGCACCAGCTCTGGATTTAAAATGGACACAACCTTAAGGACTGTTGCTTAAATGTTCCTCCATCAGACCGTTACAAACTTTGATTCAAACCACTAATCATCTGACCATGTGCTACTGTTCGCCTTCCAATCTTAAATGAATAGTAAGCATGAGGACTTTGAACTGAGTTCAAATAATGATTAACTGTGTCATGATACATACAAGTTTTTTTTCCTTTTTTTTTTTTTCTTAGTTAAATGGGGCAGCACATACTGTAGCACACAATGTAAACACAGTCTCATTGAAAATAAACAATTACTTCCCACTGACTGATTGTAGATACACATAACGAGGGTGGGGCTATGCAGCAAAAAATAAATTGTTGGACACTGTTTCATACCACAATTGTATAAATTATCATGAGATGTTTGAAAAAAAAAAACAGTGTGTGTGTGTGATATTACGTTATAATCTTATTAATAACTTCAATATGTATGACAAACATTAAATCACTGTCTAATCCTTTACATTTTACAATCAAAGCAAAGCACAGTTGTTCATTTGAAGGTGTCAATTAAAAACAATTATAAGTGATTACCATTGATTGCTGTCTGTGGGTGGGATATAACAGTGTGCCCACTTTCCATTTCTCTTCAAGTGAATACCCCACCTCGCTGGTGTATCTGTTCACAGGATGATTAATAAACTGGCCCTTTCATTCAGAGAGCAAATTAAAAAAAACTGCACTAATGCAGTGATGCACAGACTTCATGCAAGAACAACAACATGATTACTGTTCATTCTGTAACTGGGGTTCATCTCTGTTAGAATTGTCTGTTCACGTGGCCGGCAATAAAAAGCAAAGCAGCTTTGCCAGTAATGTGCAGATTACCTTGATGCGTCTGAGCAGCATTACAGTTCAAACTCTACTCCTGTGTAAAACACTGTGTGCAGGTGAGTCTTTCATACTTTTTTGTAAAGTTATTTTTGATAAGCGCCTCTGAAGTGACCCAGTCAGGCGACATATTTCCACTGGACAAAACCTCCACCAACTAGCCACTCACAAGTGTGCATGCAATTTAGGGAATGTACTCTACAAGTCGCCTCCTCAGGGTCCTCTCTGTGACCCTGTGTGCACTTCACTGACCCTACGTGAGGCTCTGCATGCACAAATTCTTGCAGCAGCAACACACAGCTTAACAAATCACATACTGGGGCTGAGGCTCTCAGCTCAAATTAATTAGTTGATTTTTAATGAGTTGATTTGAACTGTTACGGTTAACAGGTGATGTGATTTCAGCAGAGATCACAAGAGGTAAACCGGTTATGTCTGAACCCTGAATACAAGCTTTATAGAAGCATTTTGTGTAGTTCTGTGTGACTACAGAGTGGTGTGGATGTATATAAACTCATTTTATATTAATAATATTTGTTGTGGAGCATAACAAGAATAATCGTTATGCCTCTTTATACCTGTGAGTGGATCAAAACCTAGCTTTTGAGATAAAGCTACAATTTCTGGGAGAAATCCATTACTATTGTACTTCACCTTTGAAATTTAAAGAATATTTACTCTGTTAATGAGGAATCACTCTCAATGCATTAAAGTAAAAGGTAAAATTCAGCTCAGCAGAGAAAGGTAGAACTGTTTTCTCATTCAAGTGATCAAGGCCTCTAGCTTTAGTGCAGTAAACAGTGTTGTTGCAAAATGTTGTATTTGCAATGTTGACACACAATACAAGTTCATTAGTTGTGGTGGGCTGCTGATACCAGCCACCATCCATCACTGCAGGAATATAGAGTTTTCTCTTTAGAAACTAAATAACTTCACTTAGTTAAATGTTATAACTTACTGGTTGTGTATCAGGCTGGAGGGAAAAAATAAAAAATAAATCAAACCTAATAGCATATTTAGACTTTACAGTGAAATTTAGGCAGTCATGAATGAGCCAAAATAAACTTAAGACAAAACAACACCCAGTGCAAAGGCATAGTGATTGGGAGTCCCTTGCTAACAGGGTATTTCGTCAGTGTTATTGGCTAATTTACCGCCCTGAAACTAGAGGCCCAAGTGTCTTGGTGGAGAACTTCACTCAGTGACAAAAAACAAAAACAAAACAATAACAGCACTTAGTGGTTTTTGCTTGGTTTGTCAGATCAAGTTCTGGAAGGTGACAGGAAATTCCACAGTTAGCTAAGTCGCTCTTAACACAGTCCAGAGCAGCGAGGGAGCCCAGTCAGATACTGGCTCTATAGGGAAGAGAGGAGGGGGGGGGGAGTAAGTGCCGGCTGGGCCAGGAAGTGGAAGTGGGGGAGTGGGTTGGCGGTGATCTCACGTCACCACTTGCTGCACTGTTGAGCGTTCATGAGGGCAGGACTGGTCTCTGCAGTGCAGCCTCCTGAGCAGCCGCTGAAGCTTGTTGGAGAAGTTTTTGTTCATCTGCCTGTACATGAGAGGCATCGCAAAACTACTAGAGAAAGCCAGCAGTTTGGACACGCATCTCAAGAAATAATAGGTAGAATAATAGCTAGGTAAGTCATGTATGTTGCTAACGTACCCTGGTGCACCGGCTACAGTGTGCACCAACAGGGTCATATAGTACGGGGTCCACAGTACAAACTGCACACAGACTGAGGCTAGCAGGAGCCGGTGGATAGAAGGGTCTAAGCGAGCGGAGTCCTGATCCAGAGGTGTGGACTCCTTCCTAATGCGCAAAATAAGCACAAAGGCGTAAAAAACGGCCACAGCTGGAACCACGTACCCAATGAACATCATGATGGCGTCTGCTGCCTCCTTGTTCTGCATTTTGGAGCACTCCACCATCTTCGTGGAGATGTGGTTGCACACGTAAAAGAGCAGCGAAGAGAAACTGGTGAGCACTGCGCCGCCCCAGATGAACCCACACACATGTTTAGTGTTATACACGCTGGACATGTATGTACGAGGCAACGCCCGCTCTATGTAGTAGTCCAGACTGAGCAGTGTGGTGGAGTACATGATGACCAAAGAAGAGATGTTGAAGAGGATGAGCAGGGTGATATAAACCTCGTTGTTGTAGTCCCACGCATGCCAACGGGTGAAGGTCGAGCTCAGCAGCTCCACGGGCGCCACCAGATTAAGCACAAGACCCGCAATGGCCATGTTGACGAAATAGACATCCGGCATGGTCATGGACACCTTGTTGGAGAGGTTGACCACCACCAGCAGCACATTGTAGCACAGCCCCAGTGGGAAGCACACCAGGAGGTAGATGAGGGAGAAGACTGACAGGATGAGGCCAAAGTCCTGGCAGAGCCGGAAGTCCACGCTGGTGTCCGTCTCATTGTAAACCATGCAGATCCACATCGCTGTGCTCTGACGCAGGTCAAGTGCTCTCAACAGGTCGACTGCGGGAAGAGAGTTGGAGAGAAAGGAGTTAGTTATAAATGTCAGTGTTGTTATCAGTTAGAATTGGATGACTTCAATACTGAAGTCAGAACAATCAAATACATTCAGAACACTGTACCATATATATTATATGTCACTGTAATTCAGCCTTTGAGGCCATGTGTAATAAGAGAAAACTGAGCAATATCACAAATATAGAATTCTCATTCTAATTTTTGTGATCATCATATGTTGTATGTATTATTTTTGTATTTTAAGTCTGTGTTTGTCTTCTGGACTGTGCCTGGTTGCAGAATTCAACCCTCTCTGTTTTTGGTTTCTGTGTTTGCTAGAGGAGCAAGCAAGGCCTTGACACAAAAACACATCAGCCATGGCGCAGCTATTATGCCCTCGGTAACACTGTTAATTTCACTTCACTGCATCTGACTGGCTGAATACGGACGCCTCACAATATGTTTCAATTGCAAGCTCAGCCTCAAAACCCACTATTTCTCCTCTCTGAGCGACACTGGTCACACTGGCCACAGCAAATGAAGCCCTTGTTCTGGTAGTAGAATACAAAACTGCGTTTGTTGGACGCCTCTGCAAGCTCTTTCTGTCTAGCTCTGCCTCTACCTCTCTTCCTCTCTCTGCCACACAGTGCTCTCACACGTGCACTGCAACCCTGAACTTATCTAGACAGAGAGATGTCTGAATCAGTTAGACTGGACATGAAACGTACTTTATCCTCCCAGCTGCCTGGTACGAAGTCTGGATACCGTCCGACTGAGACCTCATATGAATAGAGCAGGTCACTGTCTGCGGAAATCACAGCAAGCCAGTCGACGTGTTGTTGATGACGCTTCTATCATGTGAAACAGTAATATTAGAAACATCCAAGGGTGAAGAAGAAGAAGAAGAAGAAGAAGAAGAAGAAGAAGAAGAAGAAGAAGAAGAAGAAGAAGAAGAAGGGTAATTTACACGAAGACGCCAGTGAAAATGTCTAACTGGAGAGAACTGCTGTTGGTAAGGGCCGATGCCAAAATCGTGCTGTAAACAAAATACTGTGCACTGTTTGTGGCACTTCCTGCCTCTTGCATGCTCTACCCAGGCGCCACCCCTCGTCTAAACCAAACGGAGTATTTCCAGCAGGTGAGAATGTGTCTGACATGCAAACAATCTCCTGTTGTGTGTTATACAAAAACAGTGAGAGTCACATACAGAGGCGTTGCTGCCTGTACAGAGCTTCTTCCCTTGTGCTTTTCACATGGTTGAGCAGCAAGATAAAGAGGAACTCAAGCTCTAAAACTCTCTCAAGTAAAAGCATTTGCACCTTCTGTTCAGGTTACTGCCAAGCTGACTGTTTGGGGGGGGGGGCACGTGATGATGGGTAGATTTATAAAGAGTGAAATGTGAAGCAGGCTCTGGTGAAGGGTCAGTGAGGATTGAGTGGTGGGCTGGAGTTCAGGGCAAGGTCAAAGGAAATGGCCGCACATGTAGGGAGCCTTAGTGTATCAAGCCTGACGGGGCTGCAAGGTTTTCAACAGTTATGTAATGCTCCCATTGCATAATTAACTCAGGTCATTTCAAATAAATTATTCATCCATTTTCCTTAACCAATTGCTTTGGTCAAGGAAAAAGAATATCATAAGGCTATCACAGGATTGCAGCGATAAGTCACCCAAGTTCACTGTGTTTCATTTCCTCTGTGATAATTTGGCTGTTGTGTTTCCACATGTTTGTCTTCAATCTCAAAAGTGCTTGAAGAAGAACAATTCTCTGAAGAGCAAATACAATTTTTCACGGACAGATGCATGTGCTAATCTTTGCAGAGTTTTCTGGAAACCTCTCCCCTGACAACAAAACCCTGGAACAAAGTGAAGGAAGGGAGTTTTGTTTTCAGGAAGATGAGTAATGATGCCAGCAAAGGGGAAACATTTCTCCGTTTACTTACGTAACTCCACTACAGAGGGGCTGTTTTGGCCTTAAGCCGCAGACACACACACACACACACACACACACACACACACACACACACATACACACACAAGGGCTCAGTCCCTCCTCTATAGTACTCCAATTGGCTGCAATGAGACTATAGTGGAGGCTGGAGCTCAGAGCCGGACTGGAATGGGATCAGGAAGAGGAAAGTGTAATGTTACTCTTTATAAAAAAAAAAAAAACCCTGTCATTTCCAGAACAGGAGCCCTGGTCTGCCCTCTTGTAAACATGCCTCTCTAACACCAGCAGCTAGGTGACTCATGTACAAAAACAGAGCAAGACAAAAGCACATAATTAGCCACGGTCCTCTCCCATTGATTATGTACTATTTTCTGAGTGTATTGTATTCACTCCTTCAACAACCTCTCATCACTTATAGTGAAAATGACTTTAGGGAAGTTGACGATTATTAAAGAGAGCTCACTGCATTGTGGTTGGCTGTCCCTATTCATTAGCACCTGCTGTATAGAGACATTTCTGCCACCCTTTCATTACCACACTGGCTCTCTCTGCAGATTCCGACAGCTGCATGGCACCTCATAATTCTGCATTAAAAAAATGGAGTCAAGTTTTTTTTTTTTTTCCGCTAGTGTTTAATTACTGTTAAACTGCTGGCTTTGTTTCCAAAGAAGTCTGCAGAAGTAGATATGCACTACAGAAAGTTGCTTCGCCTTGACTGAATGGACTCATTTCAAAATCATGAGTTAGAAGTAATGGTTCCTGTTTCCTGTGCCTCTGTGGACAATATTAGCCCAGTATCTGAATCAAGATCTTGACAGTGACGAAGCAGTGATGAAGCACAGATAAAAAATACCACAGCCCTGTAATGCATACTGGATTGAAACTTAAACCTTAAGATTTCCTACATGTACCGACTTGAAGTGACAGAAATGTCACTATGTGGACCTTTTGTTTTAAGCCTTTCCACTTCATATTAACCCGGCCCCCCCGCCACGATGTCCCTCATTAAAATAGGACAAACAAGCCACACAATTTAATTTTGGTACATGAATAGAGAAGAAAATGCCAGTCACTAGACTATTATTTGTCTCCTCTGTACATCCTGCAAGTCGCTGCTGTGCAGGAAAACACATTCAGCTGCCACAGCCAGCGCTTCATAATATTTTAAACAAGGTTCTTCATGTTAAGCTAGTGAACAGCCACTGTTAGCTTTGCACTGTCTGCATCAATTCACTCTGGGCAGCATCTACTCTGGTGTTGTGAAAGTCACTGCACTTCAGCTCTGCACATTTTGCCAGCAGCCCGTGATAATGAAATCTCTAGTTTTCCACTCAGCTGAGGGAAAAACAGGGGAAGTGAAAGAAAACGTCTACTCCTGACTTACTGTAGAGGCGCCACACACACACACTATGGTACAGTATGAGCTAGGCTCTGTTTTCATTCAAGGTAATGGGGACCATTTCATTTTAAAAATCCATTTCAGATTCTGCCAAGACAACAGATGGTTGTTCGGGTTGAGTGAGGGTCAAAGATATTTTCAGTTGTTACTGTCTGATAAATACATAGTTGAGGTAGCTGTCTCTCTTTTTAAGCACAGAAATTAGTTTGTATCATTTGTCAGTAATAATAATTATTTGCTGTAATAACTACATTAGTCAGTTACTCAAATTATAATCTATAATAATTTAGCAATAATGACAATCATCAGTATTTGCAGCCCCAGCAGCTACTTATAACATATTTAGTGATAAACTGAGAATGTACTGATACTATATTAGGTATCATTATTTTTCTCTTGTTGGATTGTTTTTGGTCACGTTGCCCAGTCCTGTTACTCTTCATTAATTATGCACATACCTATAACCACAAGACAGATTGCTACTTCCATTATTGTGTCTTTTATACAGAATTTACACAAGTCTTGCTGTAATCGAGCATATGTGATGATAAAACCAGGAGAAAGATGATGGCTGCTTCTCCTCCAGCTAGGTGCTTCCCATAAAGGTGCCATACATTGAACTAAACTGCTGTAGTGAGTGAGTATAACCTCAGCTCTTGTCAACAACATGAGGAAGAATCTGTTGTGTTCTTCTTGCCCGTGACTTTCACTGCAGTCGTAGACGAGGTTAAGCCCCATCTGAACTTTTTGCACCACTTCACGTCAGAAGTTGTTAAGTTAAATATTCCCAGAGGGAGGGAGAGGAGAAGGAAAGGGAAGGGAGGGGGGCGGGCGGGCTGCTTCAGCATGCTTCAGCCCCACCAACCGTGATCTCGTAAGAGTGACGCCCACGTGCTTGACGTCTTAGTGTTTTGAAGCCAGATCTCACGGGCTGATGGGAGTAGTGTGACATAGTGGGCCCACACCCCTCATATATCCTTACTGGAATTTACAGGCCCTTCTCAGAAAGTAAAGTGATGTCACATGATTCGCTGCTTGTGTCTGCAGCAGTGTGCAGTGGAGCAGCAGGAAGAAAGGTACTACGGAGAGAAAATAATATAACAATAACTCACATTTACACATGCTGCGACTGTTTCGCAGTATCAAGTGGGAGAAAGTGACATTTGATGGGCAGAATAAACTAAGATCATACTTCAATGCAACTGCCTACAAAACTACCAAACTCTTTACAGCAGGAGAGGCCATTAATATGGAAATGATTAATTTAAAGAGGACTCTAAATCTCTCCTGGTTTTAGTGATCTTCTCATCTGCCTATTATTCTTGGAAAGCAGCCCACTATCTGAGAGTATTAATGAGGGATCTGGATTCAGGTGTATGCTAATGCTGCATAACATTTTGCAAATTAAAATGACTGAGCTCTCAGAGGTTATTAAAATACTTTGCCGCGACTCCATTCCTGTGTGGGAAGTTTTATATAATTCAGAATGTTTGCCACAAATCATCCCAACAGGATTGACACAAAGTGCTGGAGTTTGTTTGTGAGCTTGTTCTTGAATGGATTCCTTGCTACTGTTGAACTACTACACATAGATCAAACAATCTCGACTGACTAAAGACAGCAAAACCAAAACAACAAACAAAAAAAAGTCTAAAATATCAATGATTTAATTCACTCACTGCTGCATAGAGATTGTGGAACAATGTCGCATTTGCTTTGGAAAAAAATAGCATTTAATCATATCAAGTTCTAGTGTAACAAGACTCTGGTCAAGCACAAGTCACGGTCAGCCTCCACAGCCTCCTCAGCTTCTTTTCCGGCAACACGTTTAACTGTCACGGGCATCAACAAAGTCAGAGTTCAATGGTCGCCACAAAGCAGGCTTACTGTCATTAAGCACACACACCCTTGTCCCCTATGGTCACATGGATGAAGTTAACAACAGCAAGTGCAAAGCCCAACTCAAGAAGCATTTAATTCAGTCAGTGGTAAGACTCATCTGAGCTCTTAAATAGCACACGTTCAGCTCTCTGGTTAATGTGTAATAATATGGCCAGGAGGCTGTCATATATGAAGTATCACTAGCATGTTAGCATCATCATTTTTATAAGCCAGAACGTGACTAATATCATTAGTACATAAATAGAATCTAAAAACATCTATCAAAATAAAGATGTCTGGTAGAATAAAAAGAAAACTGAACAAATCAGGTATTCATGTGCCTTTGAAGAATAAGAATCTAATGTTATGCTTTGAGCAGTTATGAGCTTATAGTTCATGAATTATTTAACATCACAAGAGTGTATGTAAAAAAAAAAACAGTACTTACTAATGACTTATTGATGGCCTGGCAGTTTACTAATGCAGTAAATCAGGCTGTCTTCATCTTGCAGCCTACCAGTTGTAAACATTACATATGGTTAAATAAACAAACTCACTGTGACATCCCATTAGTTGTGGGTTTCAGTGGAAGATGAAATGGGCTAAAATAAAGACCAGCCTGCCACAACTTTAAACGTTTTTTTTTTTATTTTTTTATTTTATTTCTTATAGAGGGGTTTTTTTTTGTTTGTTTTGTTGTTTTTTTTAACTTCAGAGGCCTCTGATTAAACTGATCCCAGCCCCAGAGAAAACTGATCCCGTGAGAAACATCTTCAGGTGTCGTTTCCCAAAATATAAAAAGCGTCGTTAAAGGGAACAGAGCAGCTTATCTGGAGCTCTGGTTGTTGTTACTGCGGACACTGGCTCTCTCCATCACACTTGACTGCGCAGATCAAAGCGTGGATAGCTGTCACGGCTTTACCATTATTCTGCCGTTTCTGCGACTATTGTTGGCACAACTGGAGCCGCTCACTCATCGCATGGTCAAATCCTCAAGCCGGGGGGGGGGGTGTTCACTTTTCTAAACACTGCAAGATGAAAATTCAGCGCAAAAACATCGCATGTCTGGATACAAACAGTAGAAAAGAGAGCACCAACTCACCAGAAACGTATAGCTTTGGCTCGGTGACAAACCTACGGAGGCATTAGGTTTGGATGTAGCATTTCGACTGGCATTTCTCACTCGCTTCATTAAATAAACACACATCCTAAAAATGCGCGCTCCGGCTCCCCTCGCGCTCCTGACGACTTAAAAAACTGCCAAAAGACACCGTTTCACTGCATTTCGCTTCACTCGCTCTTCATCTATCAACTTTCCGGACGAGGCTCGTTCTGAAAAGGGGCCGTCCGTAGCAGACTTTACTACTGCTGGAGTGCTGCTGAGCCCTACACTGTGTACACACGTGACCCTCCCCCACAGTCTCTTCGCTCCGCTCTTTGCTGCCGCTGCTCCACGGTCGCGAGGCCCGAATGGCCGGTTCTCTGCTCTGATTGGACAGAGGGCAGGGAGGTGGGGACCGAGGGGGGAGAACGCTAGAACACAAACACACACACAGACACACACACTCGAACCCTGCCTTCTTTAGAAATGGATGTTCCCGATAAACTGCTCATATGCAACAATTCATCAGAACTGTGTTTCTTCAGTTGTTACATAGATATCACTATCACAGCAAAGACAAATCCTCTCTTTGTTTTTGTATGCACCGCCCAGTATTGGATAAAATGTAATAATAATCTTATCATGCAAACAAAGACATAGCTGACTATTTTGGAAACCCTCTCCCCACACACCTTTCTGACGTCATATTAAGTTATGTCTGATGGTTTCTAAAAAAGTGCTGCAGGGATGACGTATTTTTGTAGGCTAACCTGGATGTTAGCATCACCCTGGTTCCCTCGACAAAAAGCCAACAGGATTTTTTCCATTGGCTTTCGAGTCATGCGGAAAATAAGATCTGTGACAAAGTTTATGATACTGATTTGTTCAGCATGATAATCTTCACAAATGAGCACTACTTTCATGAGTTTTGAAGCCTAAAGAAGCTAAGTAAATTTCCAACTTGTAATTTAATTTAGCTTACCTCTTCCACAAAAGAATTGCCTCTTACAAAGTTAGTAATAGTTTGCAGGTTCCCACAGCCCTATGTTCCCACAGCCCTATATTCCCCTTTTATACCCTTTCAGAACGCTTTGCATCCACGTTCCACGGCGTCTTCACATTTGTCCACCTCAGCGATCGTTTTTGTAAAGCATCGTTTTCAGTTACGGAATTCACCATTCTAATGTGGACGGAAGGGCTAACCGGATAAATATTACCTGGGTTAGTGTGGACATGGGCTTATGGGAACATATAAGACTGTGGGAAATAGGGCCTAATTTTCAAAACATTCTTAGAAATGTGGGAACATAGGGCTGTGGGAACATAGGGCTGTGGGAACATAGGGCTGACCCCTTTAGGACGAGGGAACTGAAAGTGCTAAAATGCTGACTTATTTCGTTATCCCTGTTTTTAAATGATGTCGCAACTCTCCCCTCTCTATGATGACTGGTGAATCAGGTATAAACGCTTTTGATTTCCATCTTGGTTGGGTAACATGTTTTATGAACTCCTTCTTTTCTAGTGTACTCTGACCTTTAGGTGTTGAGATCAACTTTAGCCCTGCATTGAAAAAAAGCAGCCCTCTAGCTGCAGTGGCCAATGAAATACATGCAAGTGCACATTCCTGATGGATTACTTTGTAACACGGATGCTATAGTGCAACTTTTTAATTCAACTGTTAGAATGAAAGACAAAATAACTGCCAGCATTTATGTCTCATGCAGAGGGCAGCATGTTGATGTCTGATCTAACTTCAAACTCATGGATCTATTACTCAAACTGCCCTCCGCCCACCTAGGCTGTATTTCATTATCTCACCAGTACCTGAAACAACACACCACCCCCAGCAAAGCAAACCCGTTGTTTTAATACAGGGCTGTTTGGTCTGAACGCCTGCTGATCATAACCTAACCAAAGACTTTTCCCAAACCACAGAAGGGAGGGCTATACGAAACACATTTGAAAACACACGGAAAAAGACCAACACAGGTACAAAATCACTTTGTCAGGGTGCAAGTCACTTGTTTTGCATTTTCACCATGACAAACAAATGGGCTAGGGACAGAATAGCCATAGTGCAGATCTGAGTTTGTGCTCATGTAGATCAGGTGTGCAAATGCAACTCCACCCATTTTCAAGTTTAGTTGTAAGTGCTGCAATGAATATTGTACATTAGACAGCTGAAATGCCTTTGTGTTGTTCTGTTGAATGGAGGCGTTAATAAAGCAGCTGAAGTTTGCTAAGAAGATTAAGGATTATGATGTAAATTCTTCATAGTTTATGACACGTATCATAATCCTGACATAGAGAAGAGTGTGGTGCAGCACATGTTTCAAAGCCTCTTCCAATTTCACCATGGACCACTCGGATACGAGATAATGAGCCAAGTTAGTTCATAACTCAACTGGTTTTTATCACTGTGCCCAAAGGGTGCCGTGTTTTATGACCAAATACTCATATATTCATTCTCTAGTTTCTTGCTTTTCTCGTTGCACATTCCTCATGTTGCATCGTGCAAAGTCTGTGATCATATTGCATTTTAACAACCCAGATAAATCACAATAATTTTGGGGTCTCACAGCAATATATAATCCTTACCGTTCAGTATTACCGTATTTCAGTACGCAGCTTTATAGGTGCTGATGAGTCATACAGATATAGCGAGTAAATGTCACGTTCAGTTTTATTGCAGTTGTCACTGGCAACCAATAAAACCTTATGTGATCATTGCTAAGCTTTATCCACGCGCCAGAGATAAGCGCTGCACATGCAGCATGGTAACATCAGGTCTTAATCAGTGCTTCACTGTGTACAGATCCGTCCCCTCATTTCCTGCTCAGCACCTGATGGTGAAGGAGGGATGGAGCAACAAAGCCCTGAAGTGAAACCCTGAAGGTTCCACTGTGTTAAAAGAAACCTGGAGGCTGATATTTCATTAAACTCTCAAGAATTGTCTCCGTGCCACTTCAGCTCTCCATGCAAATAATGGATTAGTTCTAGGCCAGCAATAAAAATGAAAAACAGTACTGAAAGATTGTTGGAATGTGCAGTTTCAAAACAAAGTGGCTCGCCATGGCTCAGTGAGCACACTGGAGCTTTATAGTGAGTACATAGGAGTGAAGAACATAAGTCACTTATGCCACTTTTGAAAGAAGTTAAGTAGAAATACTGGAATGGAATAATTCAAGGGCAGAATATTTCACTGATCTTAGTCTAATAGACTCAGCTGTTAGCATCTTCCTCAGTCAGAGATATCTGTAAACAGAAAACGGACACTGTTGTGAAACTGCTTCTTGGTTGCAGCTATCGTTGAATCTAAAGAGGCAGTGTTGAGACATACACTCTTTCCTTTTGCATGTGCTATAGCCATCACTTATGCAAGAAGGAGTATGTCTGCAGTAAGCCATAAATGTCAAGCGCAACACTACAGCTGCATCAGAAGCAAGCAATGGTTAATGAATAGTATTTGGGTATGTTGATGATGGTGAAGACATCTTTTACAATGCATGGGTGATGCATGATGGCACATGGTGTTTTAAATAAAACCTTTTAGTGACTAATAATCTGGGAAAACAGTATGACAGGTTTGAGAGCATCAGATCTATGAGTCTGGTCAACACACAATAAGAGGTTTAGAGATTACACTGTGGTCAGTGTGTAGCAGTTTAGCATTTGCTTGGCTATAGTATTGTAGCTTTAATGCAAGATAAAAGCCAGAGGGCAGAGGAGGCAAGTCAGACAAAATAGCAGCAATAGCAGTTTGATGACCAGATGGAAAATCACCGCAGAGTAAAATGAAGTGTCTCTTTGAGTCCCCATAAAATGAAGATTTTTCCTTGTTCCTGGCCAGCTAGCCTTGATCTCTGTCTTTTATATCTCTTTTTCAGCTAATTGAGGCGCAGCAGCGGAACAGAGCACTCAGGTCTCTGCTCCTTATGGAAGCATCACCCTGGAGACCGAGATTAAAATTGCTCTTGTAATTTTATTGTTGACTGTGTTTACTTATCAGATAAGACATTTTAAATCCACCACCATTCAGAACTCATGTGATGGTAGAATACAAAGTGCTTATTTATGCATAATGTGAGTCACTTCTGCCTGCTTTTGAAAATTAAAGTAATCGATTTTTAAAAAATAAATCATACCAGTATTATAGCCATGTTGTCTTGTTTTTGTTATGAAACTACAGTATATGGTGCATGACATATGTTTTCTTTTGACATTAAAAAATCTTGCTTTTGTTTCATGTTGGAAAAAAAGTGAAGATGGTCTGAAATAAACGCCCAAGCAAACAGCAAACTCTTAATCACTCAGTCTGAGTCACTTGTGTGCGAAGGCTGGGTGTTAATGCAATAATCCTTCGCATACAATCTTCAGAGTTCCACAACATCAGTCCGATTAATGCTGCATATGCTTAGGCATAGCTGAACGTTTCCTTCATCTTGTGTAACATGTACAAGCTTGTTCGCTGTTCTGCCTGAAGCTGCCTCCTCTTGGTGACACATTATATGAATCAAAGATAATATCACCATGAATCCAGAAATGTGTTCAGGTAGCCCCTGTGTGCTGTGGTATATTGTGTGGAGGCTTTGTTTAGAGTATGTTTTGTTTGTAAGTGATAGATTGTTGTATGTCATATGACTTTAATTCATAATAGCATGCTTAAACAGGAATCAAGTGTTTATTAAGGCTGCAGTGCCCGTGAGGTGATTATTTACTGCAGCAGGGGAGAAAGTGAGTGAAGTGTCAGGGGCTGAGTGGACCATGGGTCTGAGGACTAAATCACAGTTTATCCCCAATCAAGCTCTGAAATCTGTTCCTATTCTTGGAAGCCTCAGCACCACTGTAAAGCTCCGGTCTGCATTTACTTTCCCCTAAAGACTTTAGGGTGTATGATGACATATGGCTTGTTTACAAATGAAAGTCTATGCTCGGCCTCAGCCAGCCCCGGATGCATGTCAGCTGTTTGCACAGTCACTTTGGCACCAGATGGTCACACACACGTAATGTGAGTCTAATGATAATGATTAAACCAAAGTGTCTGTGGGCACACTGAAACTCTGAAATATTTCATCTGACTGCGACAGTTGTCACCATAACTTAAGATGATGTCAGAAAGTTATGACCAATCGCGGTAGCAGACACACCTCGGTGCTTGTGTGTTTTTATTTGGAGAATTTACATGCACACACTCACACAGAGGCAGACACAGCAGTGAAGTGAATGCTGGTGCACATGCCTTTAAGCCCAGAGGCCTGGGA